TATCTATCTATCTATCTATCTATCTATCTATCTATCTATCTATCTATCTATCTACCTACCTACCTACCTACCTACCTATATCTATCTATCTATATACACACACACACACACACACACATACATACATACACATATATACATATACATATATATATATATATACACACACATACATATACATATACACATATATACACATATATACACACACATATATAAAATGATATACCAAAAAGAAAAAATAAAATAAAATAAAATAGGAAGCTGATTTTTTTTTTTTAAAAAAAAGAACCAAAGTCTTTGCTGAAAACCCAGGGTTGAAATTTTTTTTTGCAGACCGATCGCTTCATGCACTAGCTTGGAAACCCAATTTAAACAAATCGAAGAATGGTTAAGGGGGGGGGTGTTGGTGCATTCCTCTTTAAAAAAAGAGGGGGGGGGGGAGGAAGACACTGTAAGGCATATATAAAACCGCTCCATGCAGGGGGGGGGGGGAATATCTTTTAGCGTTTTAACAGCTTCTCCTCGTCTTCCCCCGAGCCTTTTTTTTTTTTTTTTTTTGCTTTTGCTCCTACTTTCCTTCTCCTAGTAGCAACCCCGGAGTTCCAGGCCCCACGGAACCACAGCAAGAGGCATCCTCAGAGGAGAAGGGCTACTTTCCACGGAGATCACCTCGCCTCCCGTTGATCCAGGACCTCAGATCTCCCCCACATCCAGCCAATCGCCGGGGCCCTCCGCATTCGGCTACTCTGCAGTTGTGATGCCTCCTTTGACCAGGAGTCCATCCAACGGCCCCGTACCCCCCCCCCCCCCCCCCCCCCCCCCGTTTTGCAAATAACACCCCCCCCCCTGCCCCCCAACAGCAAGTTCAACAGAAGCAGCACACCGGCATCCAGTTCCCTTCCGATTTATTTTATTCATTTATTTTATTTATTTTTTTTGCAAAAGGATGAAGTCAAAAACGTTTTCTTCCCCTGCAGGCTCAACAGATATTTGGGGACGGAAGGGACCAGATTGGATTTCAGGAGTTTTCATCTCAAACCAAAGAGCCCCCCACCCCCCCCCCCCCCCCCCCAGATTTCTGCCTCCTCCCAACTACCCGGAGAACACCCGATCACCTCTTCCGTTACTCATCCTTTCCGAGCCCCTTACGGCGGCGGTGGTGGTACTTACTCTGACCGGAGGACGGCGAGTGCCTTGATGAAGGAGAACCCCACGAACGGCAACGCTTCTCCTCCGGGGGAAGCTGCGGGGCTCAGCTGGCCGAGAGGGGAAGCGATCCCGGCGTCCGTCTCCCGGGCATCAAAATTAGAGGTATCATCCTCAGCCTGGACGGCGGGCACGAAAGGAGGGCGAACTGGGCATCGGTTTCCAGGAGGCACCCGGGGGGAGGAAAGAAAGGGGAAAGGATGAGCTGCCGTCTGGGGAGGCGAGGGGCTCTCATTTCAGCATCTCCCAACTGGCAAGGCACTGCGGCGGCCCCCGCTAACACCCGCGGGCTGAGCGACGGAGCTGCCCCGCTCTCCAACTCCAGCTTGGCAGCAACCAGAAAATTAACCCTCCCCTTGCCAACATGGCCACCGTTTCTTGGCAGGGAAGAAGCTCCCCGCTTTTGCAAGCTGGCTAACTAGACACCCCTCGAGTCCCACAAATCGGTGCCTCCCCCCCCCCCCCCCCAAAAAAAGCCAGCCGGACAGAAGGAAAAGAGGCCTCTCTTAATAACCAGCCAGGCTCGACTTTCTCCAGTGTTGTGGTGGTGGTGTTTTTTTAAAAAAAATATCTGGGATTATTAAAAAAAAAAAACCACATTTTGGCTGAAAGGATGCAAAGCAGCCGGGCAGCAAAAGGCCAACCTTGGACAGCGCCAGTGAGCATCTTGGGTTGGCATGCCAGGGGGGGACCGGTGGCATCCCACCCCTAAGGTTAACCTTGAGAGGAGCAGCCTTGCAGCTGCCTGCTGGCGCTCGCTGCTCCGCCGCTAAGGTCAGGAGGAACCTCCACCAAATCTCTCTTGCCTTCCGGCTTGCTCGGCCCTCTCCCCAAAGGGTTGGGTGGCTCCACTGCAGTCCCTCCCAAAATCCACCCCCACCCCACCCCGCTTCTCCGTTCCCAGCCGGGCACCTTTTGGCCGGCTTCGCGGGCGCCGGGCTTTAATTGCAAGGAACTGCAAGGAGGCGGAAAGGATGGAAGGGAAGAGAAGTTTCGGCTCGCAAGGGATGCGAGAGGGAGCTTCCCCGGATAGGGGGCTGCACACCTGGCTCTCTGCTTCTCCCAGCCTGCCTGCCTTTAGATCCCCCTGGAAGGAGTCGCCGGGACCGCCGTGCAGCAAATCCACTGGCTCTCCTCTCCCGGCTTCTCCGGGGAACGGATTTCCAAGTTGCTCCCTGCCAGAAGCTGGGTGGACGTGGGGTGTGCTGCTCCCGCCGCCGCCGCCGCCGCCGCCGTTACCATGGCTCCATGTAGAGCTCTCAAAGCTGAACCGCTGCCGAGGCGGAGAGGGGAGGGCAGCGAAGGAGGCCAGCCAGCCGGCATGGCATTAGGAGCGCTCCTGCAGTGCAGGCTGCCGGCTCGCCACTCTGTGCATGCTCCGAGGGTTAACCCTCCTCTGCCCGGGCGCCAGGCGGGGAAGCATCACAGGACAGGGACACGGAAGGATGAGTCACCGGCTGGGGCTTGCCAGGCGGCCAGAGCCTTTTGTAGAGGAGGGAGGTTTGGGGGGGGGGGTTGTTGTGGTTGTTAACCCTTTGCGGTCCAGGCGCTTTGAAGATAGTGCAGGGAGGGAAGGAAAGGGAGGGAGGGAGGGAGAGAGGGAAAGAGGAGAGGAGAGAGAGGGGAGGGAAAGGAAGAAGGAAGGTACAGAGAGAGAGGGAAGAAGGAAGGGAGGGAGAAAGAGGGGGTGGAAAAGGGAAGAGAAAGGAGGGAGGGAAGGAAAGAAGGAACAGAGAGGGAGGGGAGGGAAGAGGAAGGAAAAGGGAAGAGAAGGGAAGAAGAAAGAGAGGAAAGGAGGAAGGGAAGGGGAAGGAAGGGAGGGAGGGAGGGAGGGAGGAAGGAAGGAAGGAAGGAGGAAGGAAGGAAGGAAGGAAGGAAGGAAGGAAGGAAGGAAGGAAGGAAGGAAGGAAGGAAGGAGAGGGAAGAAGGAGAGGGAAAGGAAGGGAAGGAAGGGAGGGAGAGAGGGGAAGGAGAGAAGGGGAAGGGAAGGAAACGAAAGGAAGGGAAGGGAGAACAGAAGGAAGAAGGAAAAGAAAGGGAAGGGAAGGAAAAAGGGAAGGGAAGGGAAGGGAAGGGAAGGGAAGGGAAGGGAAGGGAAGGAAAGGAAAGGAAAGGAAAGGAAAGGAAAGGAAAGGAAAGGAAA